CAGCAAGGCAATTTACTTCTATAGAAGGGTGTATCTCACATATGGAGCAATGGTGAGTGCACACCTGAACAAGGGAGGGAAAGTGTTCTTATTCCTGATACAGGTAGCCCCTACTGCTGTGTCATTCCCGTATTGGCTAGGGTTAGACCACACAGTCTAATCTAATTCTGATCGGCTGTTTTAAAGCGAGCAGGAGTACAAGCTGGAATGGTGGGGTGGATAGTTTAGTGGGAAAGATGGTTATGGAACAGGTCAGAGCAGGTAGCCAGGAGTGACTCAAGTCAAAATAGGTGACCAGGGGAACAGGTGTGAACTACTGATTAGAACTGGCTGGAAAATTATTTACTGAAACTAGAGGCAAAGTGGCAAAGAGAACCAGGAAGTTAAACTTTTAAGTGGAGAATTAAAGAGTAAGAGAGCTGAGCATACTGACATACTGATTCTTGGAAGAGAAACTTGGAGTTCTGGAGTGATGCTCCTGCCTTGACCTCCCAAAGTGCTGGGATTACAGGCATGAGCCACTGTGCCTGACCCAAATTTAGTTTAAAGATCTCAATTAGCTTTATTCATGATTCTAGAATTGGCAACACATCATTCCATAAAATAGAATAAGTGTTCCCATGAGCTGAGTGGAAGGGATTGGCTTTATAGACAGAGAAGGGAAGAAGAAAGCAGGAGAAAGGAACAGGAGCCTGCTCTTCATTTCAAAGATACTTTTCTTGGGGGATGGGCAGAGGGAGGGACAGGGAGACAGAAAAATAGAAAAATGTCAGATTAGTTAACATTGTATGTAAGGATTAAAGCCGAGGCAACTCCATTCCATGGCTACTGAAGATGTCAACTGGCCTGTTTTGAAAATTCGCTGTTATCTCTTGTGACTTCTCAGAAGGTCATAACCACTTAGTTTGGGTTTGATGAAGGGAACTTAAGCATGGAGGGCTGTTTTTATTTTTAGTGTCGTCTCTTGGGGCCCTAATGCAGGAGCTTAGTCCCACACAAAGGCCTCCTTATAATATTAATTTGACGTATGTTCTGTTGTTACGGACACAACTCAGGAATAGCTAAATGGAAGAGAGAGCAAGGGCAAGGGGTGGGGGTGGGATGAGGAGCTTCTAGCTTCTCCAGGATACCAGTGTGCTCAGCAGCCTGGGCCCTCTCAAGCCTTATGCTCAAGAGTTGGTATTGAGGCTTCATTACTTAGTCATTATTGATTAAATCTCCAGCCCCAGAGGCTGGGGTTGGGCTGAAAGGTTTGATCCTCTAACCATGTGGTGGATTCCTCCAGCAACCAGGCTCATCCTGAAGAGGCCATGGGATGGTCTAGGGCCACACCCTATCAAACTCAGGCATGGTTGAAGGGGCTCTTCAAGAATACCAGAAGACACTCCTGTCATGCAGGAAACTCTGAGGGTTTGGAGAGAAATGTGCCAGGAGCCAAGGCAAAGACTGAATCCGTATTCTTTATTATGCCACAGTAATAGGAACGTATTTTGGCAGACTCAAGAGTGCCAAAATCTCAGCTCACATTAGAGAGATTTTAATCTCAGTTCACATTAGACAGATTTACCCTGGCCCTCCAGCTTTTTCCTGTAAGCACCTGTTCTTTAGGTGGTTGGAGTAGGCTCTGCCCCCATCCACCCCAACTCCAGTTCATCTGACAATTTGAAATATTTTGAGCCCCACATGTGTCTGTCAAGATGGAAAGAACACCCTCTGGAGTGTGGTGCCAGTGGGTGCTTGTGCCAGTGGGGCCTGACAGGAGTGAAGTGGACAGAGTGTCACGGGGTTGGGTTAAGCCCTGCCTCACCTCTCATTAGGTGTGTCAATTCAGCAGGCCGATGATTTAATGAGGCTACAACGCAAACCTTGAGATGGAGAGATGAGAAAAGCACACCTGCAGACTCCTTCCACAGCTAGAGGTGGGTGAAAGGAGTCTGAGGGTGTGCTTTTCTTATTTCCCCATCTCAAGGTCTGTGTTGTAGACTATGAAGGAATTAGCCTGTTAGCCATGGTCGTTCTCAGGATGGAGATGTTGGGCTGTGGCACATGATAACTCTTCTCATGTAAGCCTGGTGAACCTATACTGCACCTGCTTGTCCTGCAATTGGACTGATCAGAGGGACTGAGGAAGCGCTTCACCTGTGAATGTGATTTCCTCTCACCAGCAGGCCCCGAGGCATCCTTGCTTGCCAGGTGCTCCCCACCTCACCCCCAGTAGGGTAGCAGGTGACATCTCCTCCTGGACCCCATTGTGGGCAGACCTGAGCTCCACCCTTATCTGTGCTTTGATAAAGACTTCGGGAAGAGGCTGGGTGTGGTGGCTCACTCCTGTAAAAGTAATCCCAGCACTTTGGGAGGCTGAGGCAGGTGAATTACTTGAGGCCAGAAGTTCAAAACCAGCCTGGGCAACATGGCAAAACCCTGTCTTTACCAAAAAATCCAAAAATAGCCTGGCATGATGATATGCGCCTGTAATCCCAGCTACTCAGGAAGTTTTGGCATGAGAATTGCTTGAACCCGGGAGGCAGAGGTTGCAGTGAGTCAAGATTGCACCACTGCACTCTAGCCTGGGTGACAGAACAAGATACTGTCTCAAAAAAAAAAAAAAAGACTTCAGGAGGAAGTAAAATACAGGATATCATGCCAAACTGCACAGAGAAAAGCAGTTTTCTGGAATCTTTCAAATATAAAAGTTCTGCTGCCAGAAAAAGCGTAATCCCTGTGACAGGCCTGGGGCTTGTCTGTTACAAACAATGGAGAGTGAATGTCGGAGTATAATTTCCCCTGCAGTTTGGAAGCACAGGTTCCCACCGACTGGGCTTCAGGGACATATTTCCTTTGACTGAGAGGCTGGAACCATCACCTTTAATATGGTAGGCCCTAGTTAGATGCTTTTTCAGCTAGGACTGAAGGGTCCTCCCCACATATGATTTGAGTTCCATAGGAATTTGAATGCCAAGGTAAAATTTCCTTGGTAACTTTAAACCTCTTGAAGCTATTTACAGGCTCTGAGGAGGATGGAGGAAGGGTCAGGGTGGTGGACGCTGTGTCATCACTCCCTGTCCCTGTTTTGATTTTGTATCCGCCGCCTTCTCTTTTCCAGTAGCCATCCTTCTGGTCCAGGATCATGTTATCTCTCACCTTCAGCATTAGAGGAGCTTCCAGATTCTTCTCCTCACCTCTGTCCATTCTGTGCACTATGTTTTCTTAGACTGTGGAGCTGACCCTGTCACTTCCTGTCCTTCAGTGGCCTCTGTATATAGTCAGACGTGGTGTGCCTCCCTCTCTCAGCTCCAACCACCCTGACATTCTCTCCATTTGGGTCGCATGCCATTCATTTGCAAATCCACCATAACACCTCCAGCAGTGCTGGGTGCAGAATCAATTTTTTTTTTTTTTTGAGATGGAGTTTCGCTCTTGTTACCCAGGCTGGAGTGCAATGGCGCAATCTCGGCTCACCGCAACCTCCGCCTCCTGAGTTCAAGCAATTCTCCTACCTCAGCCTCCAGAGTAGCTGGGACTACAGGCATGCGCCACCATGCCCAGCTAATTTTTGTAGTTTTAGTAGAGACAGGGTTTCATTTTGTTGACCAAGATGGTCTTGATCTTTTGACCTCGTGATCCACCCGCCTCGGCCTCCCAAAGTGTTGGGATTATAGGCGTGAGCCACCGCGCCCGGCGCAGAATCAACTTTTAATAATCTCCTGGAATGAGTGCATTCTCCTGTCTCTGGGCCTCTGTTCAGGCTGACCCATTCCAGATTCTTACCTGCATTTGCCTAGGTGACCACCTCTGGGCATATTCCTGGGGCCCATTGAACAGGACACATCACTTTCTGTCCCTCTGCTCCTGAAGCAGTTTATGTAGCAGTGTTGTGGATTAGAGTGCCCCTGGATGAGCGTTGTTTGTCTATGCTCTAAAGGACAGGTGCCAAAAAGCAGGACCTGTGTTTTCCCTGGCCTCTGGAGGAGGAACTGGCATGCAGCAACTGCTGGAGAATAGGAACTGCATCTTTTTTACCTTTGGATCCACCGCAGCATCTTCACATTGAAAAGAGGTCTCTAGATTTTTTTTTAGGATGATATGGCAGTAGACCCCATCCAAGTACTAGCCAGGCCTGATCCTGCTTCGCTTCCAAGATCAGATGAAATCGGGTGCGTTCAGGGTGAGATTTTTTTTAGATTGTTCAATTAAATAGAGTTAATGGCCTAAAACCTTTGCAAGAACATCCTCTTACAGGTGAAAGTCCAGGTCCGCCATCCTGTGTTATAGCCATAGTGGCTATAACCATGCTCATTTCCAAACTGTTACAGTACATTGCATATTTTTCTCTGATTTGTGAAAGATAATATATAAAAAGTTTCACAAAACGTGTGTGCACAAACACACTAACAGTGATGTTGGTGTTTTTAAATATCAAGTCATGTAATGGGGAAAAAAGTTGAAATCAACTGTAGCTCTGAAGGCTGAAATGTGTACTGACTGCCATATTCATCGTGGTTTTCCCCGCTGTTCTGGAATTCTTCTGTGGGAGCACGAACACTGTTTTCTATATGCATACCTTTACTACATGGTTGCCAGAGACTGGGTTTAAAACTGTTCTCAGAACAGTTTTGATTTCCATTTAACTGGTTTGAGTCCATTACTTTAAAAAGTCTTACTTATGGCCGGGCGTGGTGGCTCACACCTGTAATCCCAGCACTTTGGGAGGCCGAGGCGGGTGGATCACAAGGTCAAGAGATCAAGACCATCCTGGTCAACATGGTGAAACCCCGTCTCTATTGCACCATTGCACTCCAGCCTGGGTAACAGGAGTGAAACTCCGTCTCAAAAAAAAAAAGTCTTACTCATACTAGGTGTCCATTCTTGCCCAGTGATTGAGTTATTATTCTACAAGAAGATAAAGGAGCTATGTGCCACACAAGCTGTTTGATCTTTTGGGTGATTTGCATTTCACAAATGAGCATTCATTTCCTGTCCGTATTTGACCTCTTTTCCAGGGAGGTTCCCCTGAAGGATGCTAAGGAATATGCTGAATCCATAGGTGCCATCGTGGTTGAGACAAGTGCAAAAAATGCTATTAATATTGAAGAGCTCTTTCAAGGAATCAGTAAGTACCTGAAATTGGGTTTTCAGCCTAACTTGCATTCTTATGCTTCTGGGAACTAAAGGATAACATTTTAGAACTCTGAAGTAGAACTTTTCCTCTGTGTGAGTTTATCAGATGCCATGGGTACAAAATCTACAGCTATGCAGTTGTTAATACCCACTTCTATTATCCTCTTGATTCTAGATTTCTGTGATTCTGTACTCGAATCTTTTCACTGAGTTCTGTAAATTAAAAAGAAGTAATCCTGTTGCAAAAGTAAAATTTATTTTAATAGAAAATTATGCATTCTGCAGCACTTTATGTTCATATACTGAGAGGAGGAGAGGTAAAATAGACAAGGTGTAGAACTCAAAAAAATCACCCAAGAGACGGGATGACTCTAGGCAAACTGAATGAGGGAATCTTTCAGCAATTTTTTTGCCTGATAATCTCCTACAAAAAGTAATGTCTTCATCCTGTGTGACCCAAAATTGGGAACTGGGTGCAGGGTTGGTGTGTACAGGTACCCCTTGTGTCTGGTGAGCTAATTAGGGAGGGTGAGAGCCTCCTTCCTGGTTCCCGTGCTAGGACCTGTTGTGCTCACTGTATGCCAGCTCCCCGGGAATAGCCTTATATCAACCAGCGCTGCTTCCCAGCTAATGGCCCTGCCAGCACATCTATCTGCAGCTGTGAGGCCTCCAGCCCAACAGATTTAACCTTCGTAAGTTCCCTGGTTGTGTCACTCTGTTCCGGATTCTGCCAGAGAAGTCTCTGCTGACAGATGTCTGGGAAAACTGCTGAGTCACCCTCAGGAAAATTCGACCAGAGCATTATCAGAGACTTTGGGAGAAGTACAGGTGTTTGATGAAGTGCTAGCCCTGAAGTTCCTGGAATATCCACCTTAGGAGGAGTCGAACCTCAAAACAGCAATTGTCCTCAAATATCTTAGCTCCAGACAACTCCAGAAGGGAAACTGATGGTTTGATCTCCCTCCTCCCTGAGGTCGTTTTGGCAGAGCTCTCAAAGTCAGCAAAGCCGTGGCTTCCCAGAACAGATTTGATTTCCATTTAACTGGTTTGAGTCCATTCCTTTAGACTCCAAGAACTCACAGGAGGGAATCTTTTGTTTATGTTGGCTTGATGGAGAATTCACTAGAGATGGGGAATGCTGACCTGCCTCACCTCCACTATGGAGAGATATGCAAAAGAAATGTGCAAAAGAATGGCTCAGACCCTCACCTTCCCAGCCACTGGTCCTTTCTTTCCTTCACTGGGGTCCCCACCCGCTTCCCTTCTTTCCACCCTCAGGGTTTTGTTTCCTGTTATGATTTCATACTCTCAACAGAATAGTTTCAGGCTCCTTGCTCTGAGTGGCAGTCTGGGCTGGAATTTCATGTGGGAAACCCCATATCCCACATTCCTTCTTCATCGTGGGCAGTGGAAGTAGATGCTCTCAGGAGTTGTGTCATTCTGGGTGACATCTAAGTTTGGGCTCAAACTCATTACATTAGCCTCACATTTCCTCAGATTAAACTCATTCTCTTCTGGTAGTGTTAGGCTCTTCTGCTATGTTCTGCTACAAAACATTTTATTTTTACAGGTGGTTGTAACAAACGAAGCTAGATAGCTCCTGAGGACGATTGCCTTAGCACCTCTGTCCTTACAGCCCGGCGTATTCCGCAGAGCCCTTGCCTCCTTGTTAGCTCCCTGGCCTTGGAAGTCCCCCAGCACAGACAGCAGTGGTGAGCCAGGGGAGCCTGGTAACTTGTATTACCGGAACTTCAGGTTGAGGTCTGTGCATGAGCTGGGAGACCTTCTGAGGTTTATGAAAGTCATTATTCAAATATAAAATCAAATAAGGACCTCAAGGAGAAGAAGCCTAAGTAGGAAGTACTGTACTAATATATATATATTTTTTCTGAGACAGGATCTTTCTCTGTTGCTCAGGCTGGACAATTATAATTCACTGCAGCCTCCACCTCCTGGGCTCAAGCAATTCTCCCACCTCAGCCTTCTGAGTACTGGGACTACAGGTGTGCACCACCACACCCAGTCGAATTTTTTAATTTTCAGTAAAATCAAGATCTTGCCATGTTGCCTAGGCTGGTCTCAAACTCCTGTGAACTCAAGCCATCTTCCTCAATTGGCCTCCCAAAGTGCCAGGATTACAGGTGTGAGCCATAGCACCTGGCTTATAGTAATACATTAGCTTAAAAGACATTTATCAAGTATAAATCTCTTTCCTTGTGTGACAGGGATTTTGAACAAATTAATTCCTCAGATCCTGGTGGTCTACTTCATGAAAAAACAAGTGTTTTGCTTAAAGCATGGGTAATTATGGTTTCAAAGCAACTAATTCCTATATAAGCCATCAAATACCCATATCACCTCATCTTCCATGTTACATAAAAATTGTTTGTTTCTGTTTTATTATGTTTTGGCTATAAGTTGCCTTAACAGAGAAAGCTTGTAGATACACAGCCATGGAAAAATCTCAATCTGTCTGTCTGTGTGCCTATCCATCTGCCTGTCTGTCTATCCATCTGTCCATCGATCCATCTATCTATCCATCTGTCCATTGATCCATCTATCTGTCCATCTGTCCATTTGTCTGTGTGTCTATCTGTCCATCTGTCTGTCTGTCTCTGTCAATAAATGAGAGCGTCTTATGTTGCTCAGGTTGGCCTTGAACTCATAGCCTCGCCTCCTCAAGTGCCAGGACAACTGGCTGGAGCCACCTGGCTCCCTGTCTGTCTCTGTCCATTTGTCCTTCTTTCCATCTGTGTGTATATCCATCTCTCTAGCTGTCAATCTGTCTGTCTATCCACCTGTCTGTTTATCTATCAATCATCTATCTAGTCATCTGTCTATCTGCCTATTAATCTGTCTGTCCATCCATCTGCCTGTCTGTCTGTCTGTCTGTCCATCTGTCTGTCTGTCTATCTGCACTTGTAAGCACTGGTGCCTACCTTTTGCCTCTTTTCTCCTTCAGGTGAATTTCTTCAGAATGGGGTTCTGTAGCCTAATTGCAGCTTAATTTAAAACACGATTCCAAGTACTCCTAAATATATTGCAGCAGACTTTTCATTTATTTTTCTTTTCCCTGTTCCTACTTATATTACATGTGCTCCTCCCTGAGCTTAAAATAGAACTACATATTGCTGACACCTAGGCTCCCCAAAGCAATGTTCCACAGTCAACTATGCCTGGAGAAAAGATGCAATAAAAAGTTAGGGAGCTGTGAAAATAAAAGCCCTTTACAAAGGTGTGCTTCAGCACAATTAATTCACGTTGACTTGGATGAAGAGGTAAATGCTTCTCTTTTACATTCCTATAGTGTTCATAAACCAGAAATGACACAACTGTGTTTTCTGAACATGAGCTAATACAGTGTCTAACTGGGGATTGCATACCAAAATATTTTGCCTTTTTAAAGACTGAAGCTACCCTGTAAAGGATTTAGGTGCTGCTCTGTTTGGGGTAGTCTGTGTGCAGTTTGTCTTCCTCATATAATATACTGTCCTCTGATTGGTATTCCTCCAGGTAGGCTTTTATAAATCACGTTTTAGACCTATTTTATACCCCTGCATGTGGCTAATTTTCTTCCATGGATTACTTTTCTTCTTTGGGTTCTTATGCCCAAGGAGGAAAAATAAAAACTTGAGGTTACTTTTGGTTTATTCTGTCATTTTGACGCTCAAACATATTCTATCTTTAAATGATTCTCCAAGCGTTCAGGTATGTGTCTGTTCTTCTAGGGAGATTGCACATTCTTTGGGAGCTTGTCTTTTGTATTCCCCATAAAGCCAAGACCAGTAAATGGAATGGTGCTAAATTCAGGGTTCTGAATTTGGATCTCCATCCTCATCTCCTGACATAAGGTGAAATGTAATCACTTTTCTCTGGGAATTTAAGGTTGAAGAACAGCAAATTGGACAAGCCTACTTTTGATTCGTTTATTCACAGATATATACCGTGCTCTTTTAAAGGTAGGTGCCACGCTAGACTCTGGGGACAGTACAGTGACAAAGCACAGTGACAGTGGAGAGGGGGAGACAGCTGTGGGCACAGTCAGATCCGTGTCTGATGACTCTTGGTAATCAGTGCTGCACAGTGAAGGAGCGGACTGTGAGAGGTTACTGTGGGGCGAGGGAGTGGCTTTAGATTGGGTGGGGTGGGCCTCCTCAAGGAAATGATTTTAAGCTGGACCTGAAAAGCTACAAAAGGCCAGTGGGCAAAGAGTTTAAGAAGAGCTATCAGGCAGAGCAAACCGCAGGAGCCAAGTCCCCAAGGCAGGAAAGGGCGTGGTGCTTTTAAGGAAGAGCAAGGAGTGCGGTGGGAAGTTGAGGTTAGAGACTCATCAGGGCCTTGTCATGGGGATAAAGCTGATATCTGAAACAATCGGAAGCCCCTCAAGCTTTTAAAGCAGGTGTGCAGAGTATCCAATTTACATTTACAACAAAGATTACCTTAGAAGGAGGAAAGTCTCTGCATGGCTCAATCAGTTGGCATGCGATTGTGATAATCCAGGAGAGAAGTGGCTTGGATGAGGGTGGAGGAACTGGAGTTGGAGTTCAGAAATCTTCTGGAAGAAGAACCGATAACACTGGAAGAAGATGGGAAGGAGGAAGATGGCATTGCCAGAGTCACCCCCAGGTTCTGTTTCCCAGAATGGGGAGGATTGGTATATAAACAAGTGCTCTGGGCTGGATTTGGTTGTGAGCATAGCAGACAGGATTCTGGATTGCAGGGAAACCAAGTTTTGTTTTGTGGATTATTATTCTCTTTTATTTTTAGAGATGAGGTCTCACTCTATTGCCCACACTGGTCTTGAACTCCTGGGCTCAAGTGATCCTCCCCTGCCTTGATCTCCCAAAGTGCTGGGATTACAGGTGTGAGCCACCATGTCCAGCTGGCTTGTGGATTATAATTACTCAACTCAAATATCTTGTTAAAAGTATTTTAACTTTTCCTGAGGGCAAAGAGAGGTGGAGTTGCAGGCTCAGCAGAAAAATGTCTGGA